TCTGCTTGGTGATGGATTTGGTACCTATTGTTTGTATCCTTGGGGTCACAGCTCACCTCAGCAGGGTTAATGTGCGTTCTTTAACCTTTTCTCTTGGCTCAGCTCCAAACCATCAGCTTACTTGCTGAACTTTTGTACTTTAACTCTCCTTCTAGACAGGAGCCTCTGTGGAAAGCTGGCTCTAGTCAGCCATCTTGCCTCCCACTCCCCTGTTTCTGGCTTTATGTGACTTATCAAATGGCCCATATTAGGCCTAATCCTTCATGTAAGGAAGTTAGTTAGCATAGTTTCTGCATATTGTAAGCACTTGATAAATGACAAAATTATTATTGTGTTATTTTTTCTATTATTATAATTATTTCTACTGCTCTGTGAAGAACTACTGCTGACCTTTCCTTATAGTTTCTGGTTTGCCTTTACAAGCCAAAGCATTCTCTCCCACCCTGAGACACAGGGGGAGGTAGCATTGAAGTTACTTCAGACATCTCTTTTAACATTTAATGAACACTTACAATGAGCCAGAGTGAGTTTGCTATCAACACACCTGCTCTAACAAGGTGTGTAAAAAATTTATGAAGAAGGTATATGGTGGCTTTCCCCATGAAACAGATCTGAGAAACTCACCTCAGAGAGATTAACTCCTTTACCCCAAGTCACATAGTAAGAGGCAAGGCCAAAAGTTCAGAGCAAGCTCTGATGCCCTTGCTTCCTTTAAGGTAATGCAAGGGCTAGATGGCTTCACACAGACCTTTTAAAACCCAGCAGAATGGGCTCTCATCCTCCGAGTCTGTCATTTAAGCTCTGTGTGGCTGAATCACCATGACCTACTGCCTTTAAATGAAAGGCTAGGTGCAGCCTTTCTGTACTTATGTAACACTAGAAGTTATGAGAATGCCCATTTGGCTCTAGTAAAAGGGGAAAGCAGCTTCATTTTCTCGGAAGCAGGGCTGTAGGATTGGCCTCCTGGGGCTGCGGCCACTGTGCCCCCTCCTGTTCAGATTCAGGCCAGGGACTCTGCCAGGGCTGCTGCTGGCAGGGGGTTAGCACTTAGTCCGTGAATTGGGGCTGAGTCTCTGGGAGCCTTTAAGGCCATTCCTTCTATGGAGCTGGAAACTTTGAGCTCTGAGCTTCAACAGAAGGATAAATAAGTAAGGCAAAAAGTTGTGGTAACATGCTTTCCCTCTTGTAGATAGATGCTGGTCTCTACTTTCCTCTCCCAAGGTCCAGGTGCCTGGGCTGACCTCAAAGATCAAAGACCTGCCCACAAGAAAGTTCAGAATCTCAGGTCCCTTTTCCAGGGGACAGTTGTACTTATCATACTTCCTGAGCCCATCTGTTAATTTCTTGTTCTGTTCTCTTCCATTGGACTAAAGGCGTCTTATATAGATAGTCATAAATAATATTATTATATTATATTATTATATTACATTAGACCATATTATTATTGCTATGTTATACTATAATGGTCATAAGTCAAAGCACCTTGTCTTCAAATACCACTTTCTTTGAATATTTATTGAGTGACCTTGAGCAACTACCTTAACCCTCTACTGGAGTGGAACACTATGTTAAGAGAATGGAATATTTTTTTAAAAACCAAAAAAATGGAATAAAATATGAACACACTAAAAGTGTTAGTATTTGGGTAGAAGTGGATTAGGCTAACTTTTTTCCAATTTATTTAATAACAATCAGGTATTATGGTTGAAATGTAAAAATAGCCTAATAACTTGGTTAAAAGAAAGAGGGCACGCAGTTTGCAAAGCAGCACGCAGCCCAGGTGTGCTGACGACCAGGGTCTTTCTCAGTGTGAGGCTGAGCAGTGGCCCTTCTCTTCCAGATGCACCTTGGTCTGAAAATTGCAGGGCACTGTTTCCAGTGTTGGAGCAGCTGGGCAGAATGTACCAAAACCACTCCACAATCACCATCGCCAAGATCGACATCACAGCAAACGACATTCAACTAATGTACCTGGAACGGTACCCATTCTTCCGGCTTTTCCCCACCGACTCTCAACAAGTGAGGGGCTCCCAGGACTCACATACCTGAAAACATTGTTTTGTTAGCATCAGGGATTTAATTTATTTCTACCTCCAGCTGTACTTTCTACCAAGCCAGCTTCATTCTCAGCTTCAGCACCTGTCATCCTCTCATATTCAAAACCAGAGTATTTTTTGGTAGCGCCCGCTAAAGCTCTAAGATTCACTATCATCTCAGGTGCTGTTTGGTCATCCTGGACCCAGTCACTGTGGCCAAGTGGATGTGGGTGTTTTGATGGTCAGGCCTGGGTTACATGGTTCCCTCTAGAATTGGGACTGAGCTCTAACCAGACTGTATAGAATTATACAGTAGGTTGTGAATCTCCATGTGACCACTGGGGGTGGGTAATACCAGATGAAGGCAGATACATGCTAGAAACAATGTCTTTTACACTTTGGGATTATAGTCACCAAGTCACCAACACTCTCCATGACACTTTGACATGTGGGGAAGGGTGTCAATCAAAGAAGTGTAATCCTAGGCTGAATATGGGGGAGAAATAATCACAGTGTGGGTCTGTCTCTAAGTGCGATTGGAATTGAGGGAAGGATGATTCTGGAAGTTAAGCATGACCAGAAGTCTCCATCCAGACACAGGACACTAGAGAACAGTGGCATTTAAACTATGTTAGTGGAGAGGGCTGTGCTACAGGTGGGCCCAAGGAATGACCACAGCACTGGGAAGGAGAGGCCATTCTCCTGGTATAGAAGATGGACATGGGAGAGTCATGGAAACTGAGGCTGGATTGAGAAGAGGAGCTAAGTGTCACCTCAAAAGGAGTTACCTCAAAAGTTTAGAGAACCAGTGGGTGGTAAGCAGCTTCAAGAAGAAAGGGAACTAGTGATGACTAAGCACTGACCATGTGCCAGATGCTTTATAAAATAATAACTATACTTCCTCTTGTAATAATTATAATAATAGCAAAGGCATATAGTGCATGCTACGAGCCAGGCACTCTTTTTCATGACTTACATAATTAATTCATTGAATTCCTATGACAACACTATGAGGTCAGTACTAGTATTACCATCTCCGTATTACAGCTGAAGAAACTCAGTTATAAAACTTAAGCAACTAGACCACTTCACTAAGTAATACAGCCAGGGTTTAATCCCTGGCTATGTGGTTTCCTAGTCCACACTCTGGTCCACTACATCACAACCCTATAAGGGAAGAATTATTATTATCTTTATCTTAGAGCCATGGTAATGGAGGCTCAGGAAGGTTTAGGCACCTGCTCAATGTACCCAGGTTGTTAGGAATGTGCCCCTTGGTTTACCTGCATAGGAATCCATGAGCGTCTTGCTGGCAGAGGCACCCACCTGACCCTGTTCTGTTTTCTTCCTAGTCTGTATTGTATAAGGGAGAATATACTCTGAAGGGCTTCTCTGACTTCCTGGAAAACCAGATCAAGACCAGGGTTGAGGACGAGGTAAGGGCTAACACCACCCTGATTATTCTGTCCCATATGGAACTACCAGAAACTCAACCAACTATGAGAGAGTGTGCCAAGGGTTCCATGATCTCATGTTCTCTAGAGATAGTTGAGGATTGCTGGACAATCCTCCTGTTTAGGAGACTTTACTAATTACCTTTGTTTCAGGGGCACTTACTATGAGCCCCCAGAAATAGCAGATTTTAGAAACATCTGAAAGGCTCTGAGTTAACACATAGCTCCTAAGGCTGCTTTCCTTGGTCCACTCTCCTGGCATGGTAGCCAGCTGTCCTGATGGGATTCTGCCCTTTAACATTATTCTCCTGGTGGATTGGACCACACCCCTCCTTTTCCCCTACCCAGGCCTCAGCAAAACTATCTTCTGCAAGGCTCTATCTATATTAGCTGGGACTCTCACTTGCAAATGTCAGAGACACTACTCTTTGGCTTAAACAACAGTGGGAATTTATCCCATAGATAAATTTATCAGGCATGAGTGAGGCTCAACCTCACTTTGTCCTCCCATGTCTGTTTTCCTCCATGTGGACTTTAGTCTCAGTTGCTTCCCCAGAGAGCATCAAAGATTACCCCAGAGCTCCAGCTTAGAAAGAAAGCACCTACTTCTTAGAAGTCCCAGAAAATGTCCTGGGCAGGAATGATTGTAGCTATGCCTCAGTCATCTGCCCAGTCCTGGAGCTCCAGGGGTGGGGCAGCCACACTTGCAAACTTAGAATAGGGGAGAAGAGTGGTTTCCCCAAAAGTCCTCTTACCAGAAGGGCAAAACCGCATTGAGCACTTTGCCACCCCAGCCAAATGGACCTTTAGCATCTATGAGGATCCAGTAAGCCAAAGACTGATTCTCTCTGGGCACTTCCAGAAAAAGACACTTTGACAAGTACAGTCACCATTATCACATATTTCTTGTCTCTTTATTTCTTTATCCCTTTCTCCCTTTCTTCCCTCGTTTCCACCTTTTTCATAATAGCTGTTGTTTGTTGAGCAAAATGAAGTGATAGAAGAGGAGGTGCTAGCTGAGGAAGAAGAGATACCTATGGTGGAGGAAGAGTTACCCAAACAGCAGTTGCCCAAGCTGGAGAATGTGACCAAGCCTGAAGAAGCTGCTGGGAAGAAGGAGATGGCTGAGGAAGTGGTGGTGGTGGCTAAGCCAAAGGGACCTCCAGGACAGGAGAAGAAATCAAAAGTCAAGGAAGAACTTTAATTTCTCCAATACCAGGAGAAAGACGCTGATTTTTCAGGTCCTGGCATCATTTTCTGAGTGGATCTATTCCAATAAAAGTATATATCATGATTGCATGGCAGGTGGGGGATGGATAATAAAACCCCTGAATGTCTCTGGTCCTGTTGCACTCATCATCTCTCTTTCCTGGTTGGTGGTTGGCACCTTAGAAGCAATGTTTGGCCTGGAATTCAGACAGCACTGCAAGGGAACCCACAATACCAACATTTCACGAGTGTTCATAGCATGCTGGGGAGGCATCTAGTTCTCACAGCATCACTGGAGGTTACTGTATTTTGCTGTGTATAATGCACTCCCATGAATAATGTGCACCCACGTTTCTAAGCTTTCACACGCACACAAAATCATCTTAATTTGTTTATATTTAGGTACTTGTTTTTTGTATTATAAACGAATTTTGGCATTTTAACGTAGCTACCTTTTTAATACATAAGCATAAATAAAGAATTAAAAATATTTACATAGATATGAAATTAGTACAACCCATGTATAATGAGCATCCTTATTTTTCCCTCAAAAATTTAGGCAAAAAAAAAAAAGTGCATTATACACAGCAAAATACGGTAGGTTTTGTCAACCCCCATTTTATAGATGAGAAAACCGAGGCGTAAGTAACCATCAGGATCACACAGTGAAGAAGTAGCTGAGATAAAAATCCTAGGCAATCTCCCTCCAGGGACTGTGGACTTAACCTATATCACCTCCGACCAGGTTGAGGTCCCCAGAGTTTGGCTAAACCTTTCAAATGAGGTGTATTGATTTACTTACACTGCATTTTGTCACCTAAGAAAGTGATCCATCTTACAGGGTACAAGTGAATCTTTCTAAGAGTAGAATGTGAACATTTTAAAACAATAACTGAGAAAATGACATGAAGGCTGTGTTGACCAGTTTGACGGAAGTATTTCGGATTGCATGTGAAAACCCCACACTGTACCCCAGAAGTGCATTAATGTACATAGTTACCATTCAATAAAAAAAATAAATAAAAATAAAAAAAAGAAAGTGATCCAACACCAGACCTATCCCCAGACTTTCACATCTCAGTAAGTGACTTGCTCACTCAAGCAGTAATGCTGAAACCATCCTCAATTACCTGCTTTCCTTTTACTACCATGAAAGTGATTTATCAGTCCACATGACCCACTTCCCTCCACATGACTCTGTTTCTCAGGTGCAGAAATCTAATTAATCTCTTTGCTGCCACTTTAATCCTCCCCTTAAGACCCTCCCCCCCAAAACAACCCTTCCATATCCCATACAGCCGCTGGGGCCAGTTTTTAAAAAGCCATAGTCATGAGCACTTGAAAGATCACCTTGTTTAACCCTGTAATGACATCTTTATTGCTTTGAGAATAAAATCCATTCTGCTTGTTATGACTTCAAGGTCTTCATGGCCCCACAAATCTCTAATCCTTCTCCCCCTTACCCCCTCACTTTCTAGGCTCCAGCCATACTTCCAATTTATTCTTTGAATGAGCCAAATTTCCTCTCTCTGCTTATGTTTCCTCTGCCTACGTCCACTCCATTCCCCTCTGCCCAGTCTTCACACAGTGCTGTCGTTTTCATTATTCATATCTTATCTCAAATGTCACCACCTCAATGCGGCCTTCCTGGAGGCCAACATTTGACAGTGTCTTATTATTTTGTTGTGTAGTGGTATATTGCCTGCTTCCCCCACTAGCATGTAAGTCGTATGAGAATGCACATATCTATTCCTGGCTGTATTCCTATTGCCAACAACCCTGCTTGGCACACAGTAGATGCTCAATAAATGCCCATGGAAATCAAATGAACAATTCCATATCAGGTGACGGACACTGGATTCCATAGTCATCCTCAAAGGTGGAACTGCCATAAATTTTCCACAGGTCCAAATTGGATTTTGTATTGGTTTCCTGCTGTTGCTCTGACAAATTAAAATATCACAAATTTATTTTTTATCTGGAGGCTAAAAATCAAAAAATCAGTTTCACTGGGCTAAAGTCAAGAAGTTGTTAGCATCGGTCCCTTGTAGACAATTCCTTTGTCTTGCTTTTTCCAGCTTCTGGACATTGCCTGCTCTACCTGGCCCATGGTTCTGCCCCAGAAACACTGTGACCTTTTGTTTCATCCTCACTTCTCCTATGTCCTCTGACTCTGATTCCTCCTGCATTTCTCTTGTAAGCACCATTGGAATTGTATCTAGCCCCCACGATAATATCTCCATCTCAAGATCCTAAATCCTGCCTGCATAGTCCCTTTGCCCTGTAAGGCAACAATCACAGGCTCTAGGACTAGGATGTGAATGTAATATTTGGGAGTCGTTATTCAGCCTACCACAGACCCACACCACTGATTTGTGTCATTTTGGTCAGGTGATAATTCAACCTTCTCTTGAGAAAAGGGTTGTGCTATTTTAGGGACTAAGGTCTCCAAAACCTGGTCCTCTCCATTTCCCACCTGTCGTGTAAGGCAAAGGCTGTTAGTGCCTTCTCAGACCTTCAGAACCAGTTCCCACCATGCCAACCCTTTCCGCAGTCTGGCCTGTCTACATTCAGAGGAGTAGGGAACAGCCTGGGGCCCTGGTACTCACTGGAACAAGTGGCCTGGACATGGGCAGATGTTAGTATTCAGAGCACGGCACAAGGTTCACCTGCCTTAGCTTTAAGACCATGTGGCTGCCAGTGGAAGGAGGGGCTCATGGGGGCCACTGAGAGTAAGTCACATGGAACCAAGACCCTCACAGGCTAGGAGCCAGAGAATGAGTGTGCCACCTGCAGGTCCCCCAGGTGTAACTAGAGCCTGAGATAGTGGGGGCTCAGCTAGATAGGTGACACAGGTGATATTCCTCGGTTGGGAGGGTCTTCCCTTTTAGCTAATTTTCTGCCTCTTTCCAACACATGCCAACATCTCATTCTAACCCTTTGTGTTCTGTCTGATAAATTGTTCAAAATTTGCTGCCCCTTAGCTTCACTCTCTTGAAAAAGACCTAAAACCACTTGTCCCCCTGAGGCCCTGTCCTGGCCAAGCATAGGATATTCTTTACCCCCACGGAACACAGTATATCCAAGAGAGATTTAGGTCTTAGTCTGTATTTAGCACTAGCTAGCTGTGTAATCTTCGGTAAGTCACTCAACCTCTGTGAACTTCAGTCTTCTTCCCTGTAACAAGGGACGCTGTGCTTCATTGTTTGAGACAATGGAGGCAAAAGAACTGCGCACAGTGTCTGACACAAGATAAGCTCTCGGTAAGTGACAGCTGTCAAGATCATTAAAAGCAAGTCTCTCCTACCTATGTCTAGAAGTTAAGAGAGAAGAGTGTTTCAAGAAAGAACAGCTGAGAGATTAAGGTTCATTCAAAAACAGGTATTTATTGAACACTACCCTGATTGAATTTGGCAACACGGATGTCTTTGGTGATCTTGATGACCAGCAAAGCAGGAACTATTGCCACTGAAAACATAGCTTGTTATGTCACAGATCCCAAGAGAAGGGGGCATATCATGTGCCAGGAGAGGAAGTCCCCAGAGGAGCATGAGGGTTGGTCAGGAAGCAAAGAGAACAAGGGAAAACATAGGCAAGAACCATTATTGTGGTTTCTGTAGGGAGGAACAAAGAGGCCGGGTAATTGGGATTGGCTAGCTAGAACAATTTCTGAGGGTCCTGGGGGCATAGGAGTTGTCTCTAGTTGCCTGGTACCTGGTCCCTTAGGGTGATTAGAGCAGGGAATAGTAGCCCTGAGTGTAAGAACCTCATAAAGGAGGCCAGGAGGATGGCGGGGATGGGCTCTGGATTAGATAATTTGCAAATGTAAGGTACATTCACAGATCAGCTGTTTGCTATCTGTAGTAATGAGCTAGCCCTGGGAGGGACAGTCCCTTCAGGGTTACAAGACCTCAAGATGTGAATCATCAAAGACAGAAATTAGAAATCATGGTTATTACACTTGATAATGGATTCCAGCTCAAATGCCCTATTTTTCTGCCCAGAAAACTCCAGATGCTGCCTGGGGGCACCATCTTTAAAGACACCCAGACTAGGGTTTATGAAAAAGACACAGGATATAAACAACTCAAAAACACAGCATATAAGCAGCTCAAAAAAAAAAAAAAGAATAAATGTAAATAGGTGAAGAGACAATAATTTCTCTTTGCATCAGAGAATTAATAGAAGCAAACAGTGAGATATTTTTCACTATCTTTTTGGCAAAGATGAAAGAAAGTTAGCAGTATTCAGGACTGGTGAGTAGTGTTGGTAAAATTATAAAATAATTACAAAAAAATCTCTCTGGGGGGTACTGTTTGAGAATTCTTTGACCCAGAAATTCTGCTTCTGTGAAATTATCCTGAGGAGATGACCAGTGCTGACAGGTCCCCTACCACTGAATGGGACAGAATGAGAAAAGTCCGGAAAAGTCAATGCAAGATCATGGTTATATCCCCCGCTCAGCCCAGGTTCACACACATTTGATTTTTCTCAACATGATAGCTTCCACTCTTACATTGATTTTTGGATTGCCACCTATGTGGAACTGGGTCAGGAGACAGAGGTTTTAACTCGGACTCTGTCCTTTTTCTACCTCTGCAACTGTACACAAACAAAGCAGCATCTGTAAGACTTCCACAGATATAATCATTACTGCGTGACTTTCCTTGCATCATCTCCTTTAAACTTATTACAACTCTGGAAGACAGGTCTTCTCATTTTCTAGCTGAGGGAAATGACCTCAGGAAGGTTAAGAAATGAGCCTACTGGCAAACAATAAATGGCAGATCCAGGATTCAGGTCTGGTGATGTCTGACTTCTAGCAGTTTTCAGCCCTTCCCTTGCTCATGTCTGCACCCCAAGGGAGGTGGCTGATCCCATGATGAAGGGGTGTTTCAGAAAGGTCGCCTCCTCAGGACAGGTGCACTTCCCAGCAGGGACAATGAAAATCCTTTGTGTCCTCCTGCACTCTGGTTGCAGATCCTGGCTTCTGCCTGGCTCCTTGGGTTCACCCTGCCCTTGTCAGTGACCAAGAGAAAGCCCGGCACCTTGGCATTGCTTTCCCAGTTAATGTCTAACTAAGGAATCTCTTGCTGCCATAAGGTACAAAACAGAGTCCTTGTATTTCCAGGCACAGGTGTGACCTTTAATGTCAAGTACTTGGGATCCCTAAACCATTAGGAAAAAAACCAACTTCACAGGTTGGAAAAGGCAAATACTATGCTAAAAAGGAAAATATTCCACCTCCCCAAAAACAATCTCAAGAAACAGAACCAGACAATAATTGGAGGAGAGATTGTTAGCCTGGGGCAAATGTATATGTGTGTATATATATATATATATATATACACACACACACACACACAAACATAGAAGGCAAACGCCTGTGAACAGAATAATTCTCCCTGCCTGGCTTCAGGTAAGCCTGTCTGTAGCTGCCTCCTCCTAGCCCAGCTTCTTCCTCATTTTCTGTTGCTTTCCATTCTGTTACGGGGTGGGCGAGGAAATTAAGAGTTTGGATACTGGAGTCAGATCTGGATTTGAGTCACTGCTCTGCTGAATGTTGGCTTCACGATCTTTGGCAAGTCAGTCTTCCTCTTTTTGAGCCTATGTTTTCCTGGTAACAATGACCACCACTCTTCCATCCATTCCTTGAATGTGAGTTATGCTCCTATCACGTACCAGGCACTGGAGATACAGCAATGAACAAGGGCATCGACTACGGGCTGGGTCCTGCTTTACACATATCATTTGCTTAATCCCAGTGACCATATGAGGTCAGTTATTATTCATCAGAGTATTTTTTTTTAATTTCAATTTTTTGCTTTAAAAGGAGTGAGTTGTGTACAGGGGAGTTAAATGCTTTATAGACAAGAAAAAAAACTGCGCTAGAACCAGCTTATTCATCATCATCTTCATCTTCCTCATCTTCCTCTTCCTCTTCATCCTCTTCATCTTCCTCATCTTCCTCCTCTTCCTTCTTTTTCTTGCTTTTTTCAGCCTTGACGACTCCCTTTTTCGCTGCATCAGGCTTTCCTTTAGCTCAGTATGCAGCAATATCCTTTTTGTATTTTTCCTTCAGCTTTGCAGCCTTCTTTTCATCAGGCTGCTTGTCACCCCCAGCAGTGTTATTCCACATCTCTCCCAGCTTCTTTGCAACATCCCCAATGGACAGGCCGGGATGTTCTCCTTTGATTTGGGGGCGAAACTCAGAACAGAACAAGAAAAAGGCCAAAGGAGGCCTCTTGGGTGTATTGGGATCCTTGAACTTCCTTTTTGATTCCTCTTTAGGAGGGATATAGGTTTTCATTTCTCTTTCATAACAGACCTTGTCCACCTTTGCCATATCTTCAAATTTTCCTTTCTCTTTAGCAGACATGGTCTTCCGCCTCTCTGAGCACTTTGTAGATAACTCTGAGAAGTTGACTGAAGCATCTGGGTGCTTCTTCTTGTGCTCCTCCCGACAAGTTTGCACAAAGAATGCATATGATGACATTTTGCCTCTCCGCTTCTTAGGAGCTCCTTTGCCCATGTTTAGTTATTTTTCCTCAGTGAGGCACGGAGTCACCCAGTGCCCGTCCGGCTCTCACTTCCCCCGGCGCTGTCTCTGTGGAGCTCAATGTACTGCAATGGCTGTGAGCGGGAGCCAGACCTGTGAGAGCAGAGTATTTTTCAAACTATTAAGTCACAAATAAAATCATGAAGTCATATTCCTTTTGTGGGTTATACCCAGAATTTCCTTTTAATTAAACATAATATTTCAGCAAGCAGTTCACACTTGTAAGGAAAGAATTATTTTATAATATTGTACTGGATCATGACACAAAATGCTTTTTCTTCTGATACTACTGTCACAAGGTCAGGAAAACATCACTCTAGAACACAAGTTCTTTGAGCAGGGGAACATCTTTGAACTGAGCCTGGCACATTGTAGATACTCAATGTGTGTAATCATTGATCCCATTTCATAGATGACAAAACTTAGTCTCAGCAAATTGAAATACCTTGCCCCAAATTACGTGTTGGTGATTCATAAAGCAGGGTCTGGAATTGCAGTTGTAGCCTCCAGCTTCCACACACTTAACCACCATGCTATCTGATTTTGATACAATAAACATTGGATGAAATAACATGTGGCCACTCTAGAAACATTAAAATGCATTTTGAAGGTTTATTGCTTCTCATGTTGCTTATCTCAGGCCACTTCTTTACAATATGTGAGTTGTGTGAAGACACAGATTTTGTCCTGTTCATTGTTTTATTTTTTGAGATCTAGCTCCCTCTTTGGCACCTAGTAGTTTTTAAAATAAATGTTTGTTGGATGAATAATAAGATCTGGGCACACTGACGGTTTCCAGGCAGAGAATCAGGAGTTGGTTGTTAAAATTCAAAGGTACTTCCAATAAGGTGGGGAGTCTAGAACACTACCCTACTGTGCTCCTTCCTGCTCCAAATGAGAGACTCAGTTCTCCAAACCTGCAAGGTGCTGAGACTTGGGAAGCCAAGGCTGGGCTGTAGGTGAAGGTAAGGCTGGGGCTATAGGGGGGAAACTCCCACCAAACCAGGGCTGCAGCATCACACAATTTTTATAGTCCATATAAATAGACCCTTCTAGAGCTACACAGAATACAACCCCAGCACCCCTCCCAACTGGGAGGAGGGGAGTCAGATCATGCCTTTGTCCCATTTATCTCTGTTCACAGGACTTCAGGCATAAGAGACAGAGAAGAAAACTCAAGAAACCAACCTGTCCTTGCCTTAGGGCAGATTCTCCTAGGATCAGAGTAGCCGTGAAGAGCAGAAAGAATGGGATGGTCATTCTCTCTGGCCTGGATGCTGATGGTGATGGTGACCTCTGGGTTCAGCATAGCTGCAGCCACTGACACATCAGAAGCAAGTAAGCATGTGTGTGTGTGTGTGTGCAAGGAGCAATGCTGCCCTTTGAAGAAGCAGTCTCAGTCCCTCTCCTATCACACCTAGGATAGTCATGGCCGTTATTCTAAGTCTATTTCTTAGCCTTGGATGTGCGTAGGAATCACTTGAAATTTTTTGCAAAAAAGCAGAGTCTGGTCCACTAGGTCTGAGGTAGGGCCTGAGACTCTGAATTTCTAACAAACTCCCAGGCAACATTGATGCTGTGGTCTTCGGATCACACTTTAAGAGGCAAGGGGCCAGGCAGGGAGGCGCTTTATTGGAAGGGCAGAAACACAATCACACACATGAGATTTGAAACTCCCAGGTGGTTCTATACACCTTCCCTTTCAACCTAAAAAAGGTCATTCCCTTGGGAGCATTGCTTTCACCCCACCTTCAGCCTTGCCCTGGAGTACTTTGGGGGATATCAGATACTATTATGCTTTCATGGTTAAGAGCACACACTCTGGGGTTCTTCCATCTGAGTTTTCATCCTGGCTCTATTGCTTACCAAGGGAGCAACTGGCTTAATCACTCTGAACCTGTTTCCCCATCTTCAATATATGAATTTAAAAAAAAAACTGATCTTACAAGTTCATTGCTAATCGCTTAACAACACAATGAATGAGGAGTGCATCTCCTCTTGCCTGGCATGTAACAAATGCTTAAAAAGCAAAAGCTGATTTTTTAAAACATTATTTTTGTCAGGAAGGAACAAAGTACGACTTCCCCAACAGGTGCAGCTGGGAAATCTTCAGAGAGTGGGACACACTGAACTGGGTCTTGAGGAAGTTTCTCTAGGCCAGGAAGGGGAATTAAGGAAGGCGTAAAATGTGCAAAGGCGGGAAGGAGTGGCAAGGTCACCACAAATCCCACCAAAGTATCAGGAACTCCGTGTAGTATTCTTCTGGATGTGGGAAAACGGATATTTTAAAAGCCAGAAGGCAGTGCTTAACATAAAGAATGAAGAGTGGAAGTTTAGGCATCCTCCGGGAAGTCTGTTTGCTTACTTATTTTGATGGGAATCAGCTAGAAAATACATCTTAAAAGACACGGGTTTCCTCAGGGCCTGGGTGGAATCTCTCTGGTCCAACTGCCCACACTCTGAGGCTCGGCTCTTCTGTCCGCAGAACAATGCGCTGAATGTCACAGCAATGCCACCTGCGTGGAGGATGGGGTTGTCACGACGTGCTTCTGCCAGGAGGGTTTCACCGGTGACGGCCTCGAGTGCGAGGACCTGGATGAGTGCGCCACTCCAGGGGCGCACAAGTGCTCAGCCAACAGTAGCTGCGTGAACACGGCGGGTTCCTACACTTGCGACTGCCTGCAGGGCTTCCGCCTGGCACCCGGGCTGGGCTGCACTGACGTGGATGAGTGCGCGGAGCCCGAGCGGAATCACTGCCATGTCCTGGCGACCTGTGTCAACTTGGAGGGCAGCTATTCGTGCGTGTGCCCCGCGGGCTACCGGGGGGATGGATGGCACTGTGAGTGCTCCCGGGGCTCCTGTGGGCCAGACATGGACTGCGTGCCCGAGGGTGACACGCTGGTGTGCGCTGATCCGTGCCAGACGCACCGCACCCTTAACGAGTATTGGCGCAGCACCGATTACGGGGCGGGCTACGCCTGTGACTCGGCCCTCAGCGGCTGGTACCGCTTCGTGGGCCAGGGCGGCGTGCGCCTGGCGGAGACCTGCGTGCCGGTCCTGCGCTGCAACACAGCCGCGCCCATGTGGCTCAACGGCACGCACCCGTCCAGCCACGAGGGCATCGTGAGCCGCACGGCCTGTGCGCACTGGAGCGGCCACTGCTGCCTGTGGGACGCACCAGTCCAGGTGAAGGCTTGTGACGGCTACTATGTCTACAACCTGACAGCGCCCCCCGAGTGTCATCTGGCATATTGCACAGGTGAGGGGGCGCCTCCCTGCAGCCTGGTCTCAGGCTCAGACAGGCAGCACCGAAGACTGGGGTATCCTTGATTGTCTATCTTTCCCTGTAACCCCCGCAGACCCCAGCTCCGTGGAGGGCACGTGTGAGGAGTGCAGTATAGAAGAGGACTGCAAAGCCGATAACGGCAGATGGCACTGCCAGTGCAAACAGGACTTCAACATCACCGGTGAGGCCACTGGGGATGAGGCCAATTGTTGAGCAACCTGTCAGCACCTGGGGGAAGGAAACGGCTCTGTGGGTATGATCCAATATTAGCAAAAAGGGACGGTCCACTAATACCCTTTAAAACCAACAAGAGGTTCTCTGGGGCTCTCTCAGTAAGCTGGCTCCAAAGCTTTGGGGATCTCTTTATGCCCAGCTTTCTTTCTGAGTCCTCCACACCGCAGTGGGCACACAGATTGCTGCCACCTGGTAACCAAAAGCTATGTGGGCCATATTCTTGCAGCACCAGAACACAGGCCTGACTGATCACGATTTTAGTCATGTCAAATTTTGTAAAAATGTAAATCTTATAAAATTTTACAAATTTGCTCTATCAACTATTACCTATGCTGTGATTGTTATTAACTTGCTTTTCCTCAAATTGACTGAAGCCATTCTTCTTTGGCATAAATTTAAGATGGTGATGGTCACTACTGTGTCTGTGGCAAGTAACACCTAGTTTAGAAGGTTAACTGTAGAAGCAAATACAATTAAAAGAAAATATTAAATTCCAGCAGGTGTGTGATACATCGATAAGCCATTTTTAACAATAAGTACTAAAAAGAAAAAATAATTTCAATTTTTAACAAAAAGTAAAAAATATCTAGCTGGATGTTGTTGCCTGCCTCAAACTCTCAGCTTGAGGGCTGCTCTCTGTTTAAGAGGGAGATGAGCAAGGCATTAAAGACATTAACAGATATTGGCAGTAAGTTTCAAGTCTCCTTGATGGAGGAAGGATGGACAGAAATTGCAGTTAACTTTTCTTTTTTTAAACTGAGATTCAATGTTATTTAATGCTGGGACAGTGGGAGATGCCAAGCCTCCTACATTTTGTATACAGGTGCCCTTGGGGGAACATGAGGCTGGATGGTTAACTGCTGGGTACACACAGTGATGCTAGGGATCTGGTCTTGTGTCACCATCACCCTGGGAGGGGACTGTGTTCAGCTCAAGGCTACTGTGAGCACTCTCCTGTGGTGGCCACCCTAGCCAGCTTGTTTTGACCCCTGGGGACATGATGGGCCTCTGAGCTGCAGACCTCCAATCCTGTTCTCCCTGGCCTTTTCAGATATCTCCCTCTTGGAGCGCAGGCTGGAGTGTGAGGCCAATGATATAAAGGTGTCCCTGAGCAAGTGCCAGCTGAAGAGTCTAGGCTTCGAGAAGGTCTTCCTGTACCTGCGTGACAACCAGTGTGCAGGCTTCAACGAGAGAGGCAACCGGGACTGGGTGTCTGTGGTGACACCAGCCCGGGCTGGCCCCTGTGGGACAGTGATGACGGTATGTCCTGGCCAGCGGGGGACAGAGTCAAAGCACTGCTTGGTTGAAGCCCCAGCTCTGTCACTTGCTAGATGTATGAGCTTGGGTGAGTTATTTAGCCTGGCTATACCTCAGTTTCCCCAACTGTGAAGTGAAGAAATAATAGTACCTACTTCATAAGGATGTTGAAAAGATTGAGTGTGTTAATTGGTTAAAAATGGTTGGAACAACAGCACAGAATAAGCTCTCGATAAATGTTAGCCTCAGAGAAAAGAGGGTGATTAATAAATGATAGTTCCCCATTTCACAGATGGGAAAGTAGGGCCGTGGTTGTCCCAGCTAGTAGGTACCACATAGGAGCTTTGGGTTCAGAAGCATGTCTGTCTCCAGTAATCCTGGGACACAGGGTGTGTATCACTGACTTTCTGAGAACCAGGTCCTCCCCTAGAGAGACCTCCTCCCGCGGAACCCAGAGGGAAATGTCGAGTGAGTGCCACATTGTTTCTCCCACCTCTCTCATCCCCAAAAAAGAGAATGGAAAGAAAACAAAAGAAAGGAAGAAATACATTGATTAATTGCCATTTGTCTAGGATGGCATTTGAATTCCATTAGTGATCACTTGGATGTGTTTTTTAGGAAATGTAGAGTCATGGAAAGAGCCCAGGCTTGTCAAATCCCACGTACTGTGGGCAATCACTCAGTAACTCAGTTACTATGAACCTCCATCTCCTTATCCAGGAAGCAGGGAGGTGGCAGCCTGCCTCTTAGGGTCATTGAAGAAGCCAGTGCAATGAAGGAGGAGCATTCGGGTCAGGGCCCGGCACATGCCCCATATACATGTAACTTTTTATCACAGAGACTAGGAGGGCAGCTCACAGGTAGCCAGAGGCAAATGGCTGTGGCTTTGAAGTACTCCTCAGATCCTCACGCCCCTTTCTTCTATCCCCCACCCTGCCAACACAGAGGAATGAGACCCACGCCACCTACAGCAACACCCTTTACCTGGCAGATGAGATGATCATCCGTGACCGCAACATCCAAATCAACTTTGCCTGCTCCTACCCTCTGGACATGAAAGTCAGCTTGATGACCTCCCTGCAGCCCATGGTCAGGTGCGGCCAGACAGGGTCCCCAGGGCTCCGGGTCAGGTCCACTCCTCAACCTGTTAACCATGGGACCTTCAGTTTCCCTGTCAACTGCCACCCATGGGGAACTAGGAGTGGAGTCTGTGAGCCAGGGTTGCCCACAGGAAGAGCCCAACTAGGAACCCTGGAGTCCAGATTCCAATCCATACACCAGGCAGCTGGTAGCTCCTCCCTGGGTGTTAATATTCTCATCTGGGAAATGGATTTAGCAATACTTTACTGCCTTACTTAGAGTACAGCAGTGCTCTGCAGAAGTGAATCAAATATTAGGGACTTCAGCTTCTCAGAGGGGCAGGGTGGTTGGACCAGGAAAAAGGAGGGGTCTGAGTCCAACCTTGCTGTGGGGACTATGAGCAAGTTATATTCCATTTTTGGACCTCACTTTCCTTCCTTCTCTATAGATTGAAGGGATTTGATTAAAGAGGGCTTTGCACATTGCACTCTTTGGAAGTGTGTTGGTGGGGGAGTGAGGGTCCTTGGCAGAATGCCTGCAGGATGAACCAGAGAAGTTCCACCCATATTAGTGGGTGTCACATGAGGTTTTATTATTTTTATAAAAAGGATACTGTTGCTAAATAAAATTGAAAATCTTTAAATAGGATGAATCATGGGCCAATAATGCTGATGCTGGAAAAGCTAATAGTTGTAATAAGAACAAGCATTTATTGAGTACTTATGCTACGGCAGGCATTGCCTCAAATGCTCTATATGGAACAGGCTGATGAAATCTTACGGAAGTCCTAGGAGATGGTAGATATTATTGTTATTATTTCTATTGTACTGATGTATAAATTGAGGCTCAGAAGTTTGAGTAACTTGCCCAAAGTTACAAAGTCTCTTAAGTGCTGGATTTAGGGTTCAAACATCAGGCTCAGAGCCACCACCCCACTATGACCTTCTCTTTGAAGCTTGAATCACAGGCAAAAACCTCTGGGGCAGCCAAACTCAGGGGAGAGCACCAGGCACTGGTGAGAGTGCATGGCTGACTTAGAGAAAGGAGGTTGCAGGCCTTCGGCTGGAGTATCACCTGGCGAAGCAGTTCCCTGGAGCACTCGTAGGCCTGGGAGGTTCTAGGGAGCAACATGCGTTTGTTCAAATCCCTCTCTCTCTGTTTTGAGTTGGAAATCTCACCCCAGTCCAAACTGATAACCTGGTTCTCACCTATAAAATGGGCTTCCACATTGCTGAGTGTTTCTTATTTATCTTATTTCACATGGCATGAGTCTTACAATGTCCTTTGAGGAATGTCCAGTGAAGTCTACATCAGTGTGCAGACTTCTCAATATGGTTAAAAAATAAACCATTTATAAAACTCCATCTTCTGGGGTGGGTGCCAGTACCTCACAATGGAGCCAGGACTCAGCTCTGTGGGACTCATAATAGCTCATCCCTTTAAGCCTGTTCTGGACTGAGACCAAAGAAGGGATCTAGGTGATTCTCTCCAGAATTTGTTCTATTTTGAAGACTCCAGGAGTACATGCAGAAAGAACCACAAGTGAGGGCCTGAACAAGTTACTCAGGATGTAACCTAACTGTCAGCAGAATCATTATCAATCAGGAGCTTGTCATAAACACAGAACCCGAGCCCCACCCGAAACCTACTCGTCAGAACCTGCATTTTGATACCTCTGGGTGCTCTTTGCAGTTTGGAAAGCAACGGCTGGTGGTTTCAGTCCTACTGCCAGATAAAAATGTAAATAACTACTGGGCGGTGCCTGTGGCTCAAAGGAGTAGGGCACTGGCCCTATATGCCAGAGGTGGCAGGTTCAAACCCAGCCCCATCCAAAAAAAAAAAAAATTGTAAATAACTGCAAGGGACTCCCCAGGAATGCAGACCAGAAAGAGTGGCCCATCTGAGGATGTTCTCAGCCTGGTCCTCTTACTGCCTTATGCCTCCTACAGTGCCCTGAACATCAGCATGGGCGGGACGGGCATGTTCACCGTGCGGATGGCGCTGTTCCAGAGCCCCGCCTATACACAGCCCTACCAAGGCTCCTCCGTGACACTGTCCACCGAGGCCTTTCTCTACGTGGGCACCATCCTGGATGGGGGTGACCTGTCAAGGTTTGCACTGCTCATGACCAACTGCTATGCCACACCCAGTAGCAATGCCACAGACCCCCTGAAGTACTTCATCATCCAGGACAGGTAAGCAAGGTTCCTACATGGGGGCCCAATGGGGTAAAATGCAGGGGGGAGTCTCTGGACTTGGATGGGGAAATTGCATCTTTATTTTCATTGCTCTCCGGCTGGAACTTGACATTCCCATCCATTGTGACTATAGGCAACAAACCACAGAGATATCAGCAGGACATGTGAAACCATTTGTGCTCACATTTTTTAGTTACTGTTGTACTAGAATTTTCACTGGATCTTGTTATTTAATGCGTTTGCAAATATATAATGCATACTTGCCTATCAAATATTTTAACATTTGAGAACTATGCTTCAGTTTAATTGGTTTCCTTTGTAATCTTTTAAATATTTTATTTTATACACTTAAAAACATTATTATTACTGTATTAGTATTACTATTATGTTTTGAGACAGAGTCCTACTCTGTTACCCAGGCTAGAGTGCCATGGGGCTAACCTAGCTCACAGCAACTTCAAACTCTTGGGCTCACGTGATCCTCTTGCCTTAGCCTCCCAAGTAGCTGGGACTACAGGCACCCACCATGACACCTGGCTAATTATTCTCTTTCTCTCTTTTTTTTTAGTAGAGATGGGGTCTTGCTTTGCTTAGGCTAGTCTCAAATTCCTGATCTCAAACAATCCTCCTACCTTGGCCTCCCAGAGTGCTAGGATTACAGGCGTGAGCCACTGTGCCCAGCCTAAAACCAGTATTTTTGAAGTGAGAGGCACACGCTTTCCCAGAGGGCGTAGGCAAGGGTGGTCTATGACTTACAGAACAGTGAGAAACCTGATTGAAAGGCACACTCAGGCGAGTAAGCAGCCTGGCCCCCGGCTTGGAGGGGTGAAGCATGAACTCTGTTAGCCAAGGGCCAGTTGAAACCAAGAGAACTCAGGTGTTGTGCTTTTTATCCAAGAGGATTTGATCACTGTGAACCTCACCATGAGAAAGTAGTTCATGTTTTCATTCACAAGTTGGACAGATATTCTGCCAGGCTTTATGAATACCCTAGTGAACAAGAGAGACAAAAGCCTCTCCCCTCAAACACTTTATATTCTAATGAGGGAAGACCCATAACTAAATGAAAATGAAATTTGTCGTACGTTAATGATAAAGAGGCTATAGGAAGGGTTGGGGAGAAGAGAGGCATTTGCTATCTCTTATCTCTTATCTCTTATGATCAGAGATAGCATCCCTGAGAAACTGTAGTCTCTTCTCATTTCAGTTCTCTTAGAATCTGCCCGGTTCCATCCAGCAGAACTTCCCAGTTGACTGGTAATCTATTAACCTCTCTGTTATTTGCAATCTCCCTTTGTAATAAACAGAAAGGCAGAGTTATTTTTGCAGTTAAATATCTAACTAAAATGCAATAGGACTCTTTTGTTAACCACGTACTCATTCATATGGTTCTATCCTACTTATGGCAAATGACATGGTTTGCCTTTTGTGGTCACGATCTAAAGATTCTCCTAAAGAATCAGTGTATTTCAGTAAAAAAATGCAAGTGGATTTAAAGACAAATAGGAAGTAAACATTAATACACATGTTGAGATACACAGGAAACCATTTATGAAGGTGGTATCTTGACAAGGAATAAAAGAACTAAAATTGGGGAAATATTGGTATTCAGATATTGCAGAGATTTGAGTTCCAATCTTGGCTTTGCCATTTCTTAGTACTGGGACACAGGTCAGCTCATTTCTCTGGATATTCATTTTCTCAGATGTGAATAGGGGTAAATTGTACCTATTGTTCTGGGACTTTCAAGCTTAGGGGTAAATTGTACCTATTGCTCTGGGACTTTCAAGCTTGGTTTTCCTGAGTGTAAAAGTATAGCAGGCACATTGTGGAAAACTTGGAAAGTTTTGAGAAAGAAGCAGGAAGCAATGTGGGATGTGTCTGTGTGTTTCCGTATGGGGGTGTGGGGGGAGCTATGTTGAAACTACCAGTCTAGGAGAGATGCCAAAACATCCCAAGACATGAAAAGACAAGGAGACAGATTGGGGAGACAGAGATAATAGCTTGGAGGGGACCCTTGGATGCCTGGCTTGGATTGAGTGTGTGGGGCACCACAGGCCATGCTGTCTGCCTTTCAGGTGATGGGTCCACTTAACTACAAGGCTTTTATCTTGCCAACTGGGGATTGCACTTTTACGGTAGATCTAAATTTTCAGACAGAGCTGAGAGTGAAAGCCACCCCCGGAAGCTCCTTCTCGGTTCTCGTAGTCTGTGGGGTAGAAGCCCACAACTGTGTGCTCCCTTACAAACCGTGTGCTCACTCTAAGCTCCAGAGGCAGGTGGACAGACTTCTGTGGAAGGCAACTCTGTCGATGACCCGGTATCCCTGGTCAGCATGGAACAGGGCCTGGGGATTAGGGCATAAAAACCCATCTCTAGTGACTCTGGCCATGTGGCTGTTAAGCCTGCAAAGAAGGGGTTAAAAACTTTTCTGCAGAGACACAGCCTAGGGGTTGATAAGCTATGATATTGAAGGCCTCCAGGTTGCCTTGAAGCAGAAGCCATAAATCTGCTTTCTGTAACACAATGAGTGCACAGTATAACTTCCAGGTTTCACTCCCCTCTTGGGAGTGAAGTCTCTAGTCTCTAGATGTGCTCCCTTTTGCTGCTGCCTGGAGTTTTCAAACTTTGTGTCTCTTTGAAGATTGAACTAACTTTTAAAAAGATTAGTAGTATGTATACTTTACTTGTTAATTAATAGTGCGTACATAACCAGCTGACTATAAAAGGTGGTCTTGAACAATAAGGCTTTGCTACTTGCCATCAGCAGGTAGTCTGTCTCTTTCACTATAATAATTCCAGATGTGAGACTACACCTGTGGTGACGCTGTCTGTCTCTCGCGAAACCCCAACGCAACAGTAGTCGGCTTTCAGCTTCTCTTCTAAATCAACTTTGAGCAAATACTGTACAACAGAAGAGAGGGTGCCAAGTTTGGCACCCCAAATGCCCTGTATCCTGGCCCAGCCCAGCACACGTGTGGGTCTCTGCATGTATGATTTTGAATTTCTCATTGTAAGTGTGTTGGTGCAATTGTTGATGTGCACAAATGGGTGAATACACTCCAAATGCGTCGGTGGCCCTCAGTACGCAGAGGATTCCATTGTTATAGTTACACCAGATGCATAGATAACACATAGTAGCTAATGGTTCTTGAATACCATTTCCTAGGAAATCAGAAACTGCTGACTTTTGGGTGGGGTGAACTCAGTGGTGATAACATTTTTGCTTGAGCATCAAGTATACATAGCATCGACATTGTGCCACATACTGTTCTAAGCACTTTGAAAAATTCATCAATTTAGTGTGGGCTACAATTATTATCCTCTGTGTACAGATGGGAAAATTTGAGGCACCAAGAGATTAAGTAAGTTGCCCAAAGTCACAGTTAATAGGTTGTGTGGCGATACTTGAACCCAAGAAGTCTGGCTGCAGAGTCTTTGCATAGCCAGCCACATGATATGATGTAATCCTCCCAGCTGTCCACAAACTGAGGACTCAACTATCCAAGTGGTGGAGAACGGGGAGTCCCCGCAGAGCCGATTTTCTGTCCAGATGTTCCGGTTTACTGGAAACTACGACCTGGTCTACCTGCACTGTGAAGTGTATCTCTGTGACACTGTGAGCGAAAAGTGCAAGCCTGTGAGTCACCTCCCCTCCCTCAGCCCATCTCCCACAACCAGAGATATTTGGCCATAAGGTCTGAAAGAAAAGAAATCAACATTTCAGCTGTCGGGGATGGAATGAGCAGTCAGAAGAGGTGGGCATGGCCAGAGAGGAAAGCTCAGCTGCTAGGGAATCCGGGGTCAGTGGATTGGGCAGGCTGGCAAAGGTCTGGCTTATCTGCAAGCTTGTGTTCTGATAACAGGAGCTGCCATTTTTAAGCACTCTGTCCCCTTTGTGTGTGTTAACTTTTTAATGCTTCATAGTAACTCTGTAAGGGAGATATCACTACTCTGGGAGAGGGACTCAGAGAACTTGAGCGCCCTGCCTGAGATCACACTACCTAGCAGGTGGTAGAGCTGGGACATGAGCCCAGATGTAGACTCTTCTAACAACTCCAACCTGCAGCAGGAGGATGATCCTATGAGGTGCTCAGCCCCCTCCACACAGCAGGGTCAAATCCGGCTCCCTCATGGAAGGTTTTTTCCTATCACCCTCTCCCTGCAGACCTGCTCCGGGAACAGATTCCGAAGTGGGGTCATCATAGACCAATCCCGTGTCCTGAACTTGGGTCCCATCACACGGAAAGGTAAAGAGAGCCACTCCCCCCTTGATATTTCCAGCTGGGAATGATCTCTGGAGAGGAGGAGAATGATAGAGCCTGGCACATTGGGAATCTTACTGGGATCTGAAGAACTGAGAGCAAGTGGGTCCTCTAGGGAAAACAGGAATGCAAGCTGCCTCCTTTTACCAGTTTCGGGCATTCATTCATCTACTCATTGCACAAATATGCTGTTGTGTGCCACAGGGGCATGGGATGAGCAGAAACAGACACAGGCCTGCTCACATGGAGATTGGAGATCTGTGGGGGAGACATTATTAAATAATTCCACTTAGAGGTTTATAATAGCAGTTGTCCTAAGTGCAAAAAAGAAAATATATAAGAAGCACCAAGTTCTTACAAGAGGGGAAGAATGTGGCTGAGATTTGGAAACTGAGAGGGCAGTGAATAAGAGGGGTCAGGGAAGAGAGGAGGGGAAGGGATCCCAGCTTGGACAAAGAACCTATGGTCAGAGGGAGCCCAGCCTAGTATTAGAGCTGAGAGAAGGACCAGCAGGCTTGAAGGAGGAGGAGAGCCACATGGGATGAGCTGATGCAGGCCAGGCCAGATCGCATGGGGGCTTGTATTCTCCCGAAAGCCACGAGGAGCCCCTGAAAGGTCCAAAGCAGGCGAGTGAAATGATCAGATTTGGATTTTGAAGAGATCACTGTGGCTGCAAGGAGAAGAGCAGATGGAAGGGGCTTCTCTTAGGCTTCGTGCCCAGCCTCATGCTTTCTCTCTCCATGGATCCCTTTTTCCTTCCAAAGGTGTCCCAGCTGCCATCTCAAGGGCTCCTTCCTGCAGCGTGGGTAAGTTCAGGCATTCTCTGCAAAGGGACTTGTCCCAGAACCCTCCTTGGGTGGGTCTATTCTGTGGACCCCCAGGTGTGCTGGAGGGCCTGGCCTGCTTGACATGAGCTCTGGAGAGGTGACCCTATCTATGGAAATGCCTGGGCCTGGGGTTGTACATATATGCACACATACTTGTGCTATCTTATAATCATGTATGTGTGCATAGAGACACAGGTGTGCCCAGGCAGGTACACAAGAACATAGATGTCCAGGCATGTTTGCGCACACAGATGCATGGACAGCTGCAGTTTCACACGTGCATATTTGCCCGTGCAGACGTGCACACCCTTACTACAGGCTTATACCCAAAGCACATGCTATAGATCTGCATCTTGGGATCTTCCTGATGCTCCATGGCTTACCTCTAACACCTGGTTCAGGATTCATTCAACGGGTGTCTTAATATTTGTTAAATGCTACTGTTGCCAAGAACCATGCCTAGGGCTGGGGTGAACACCACAGACAAACAAGAAACCCTGCTTCTCTGCTTCTTTGCTCTTCTGACCACAGTGACCAAGGACTAAGGATATTTGTGTGGTCCTTAATTGATCCTTGATTTTCATGGCTACTGAATCATCTGAAAATCTAGGTGAAAAGCAAATTCTGGCACCAGATGCCCTTCTTTGCTCCTGGCACCTGGATTGGAGGGAGTTGTTGTACTGATCTGGCATTTGATCTGAGCTAGTTCAGCCCAGGAGTGGTGA